ACAACTTTACTGAAAATAAAGCCAATAAAAGCCAACCAACTCCACTAATATTAATCTGTTTGACCTGTATATTATTAGGTCAAACTATTAGTAAATAAGGCTAGAAATTAGAACTCTATTCTTCATCTGCTTTATTAGATATTTCTATTGTAGCTATTATCTCTACTAGGTTTTCTACTAGCTCTATTAGATTTTTTATTAGTATTATTAGCTTTATTCACTTTATTGGCTCTATTTACTCTATTGGTAATTTTCTTAATAAAGTATATCTATTGCCAACCTTGTCTACAATCTAACTATGAAGTTAGCTATTTAAACTTTCTAGTCACAACTGCTAGTCACTTGTATGTAACCAAGGTGTAGCTTACTATATAAGTACTGTCAATCAAAAACTAGCAATTTCAAGTTTTGCTGGCTCCACTTTCTAATCTTATTCCTGATAAATTAAAATTAAGCACAACATAAATAATATAGTGTGTTAAATCATATTTTTTGAAGTTTGATCTGTAAAATTAATTTCAAAAAACTTACAATTTCCTGTTTTTGCTTGTTAGTACTCATATATTCATAGATTTTACAACCTCTATAGATTTCACATCCTACTTTAAGACTTACTAACTATCTCTGACTAGTTTATCTACAAGATAAATCTGATAGTGTGATATAGTAGATAGCACTAATTTGCAAATCAATATATGTAAGTAAATAAAAAAACATGATTTGCTTTAAAATTATATGTTTTGGCTAATTTTTTTATTTTTTTGCTTCTCTAATATCTAGACAACAAAGCTAAAAAAAAAAAATCTTATGATATACCATATATACAAATAACAGAAAGAAAAAAGTATAATACTTGCTTTTATTAAAAATATAAATACAAAACAAGTTACTCTCAAGATTGGCTATAATTTAATAATAATATGAAGATTTCTAAAGAAGTATTTTAGACAACTCCTATTTTTAAAAAAGAAGAAAAGTCTATAATACTCAAAAAAGTATTGAAAGAGAGATGCAAGCCTTTGTGCAGTATTATCAAGAATTTAAATTTACAATATGAGGTGTCACATATTAAAAGGGCACATTTTGCAATATAAACAATTGCATAGTTAAAAATCTATTTGATTGGTTGTCGATCCTTGAAATTTCATTGGCTGCTTATAGTAAATGTTCTATATGAAAATGCAATCGATTATATGATAAGTTGCTGATAAATCTGATTATATCTGATTAAATTTGCCTGAAGCAAGTAGTATCGAAGAACAAAATTTCTTTAAAATTTCATTATCTGTTTGCTATATAAATTTATAACTTACGATTTGTAAGTCATAAAATTATATAGCAAACTGTTAATAAAATTTTAAAAAAATTTTGTTCTTCGATACTACTTGCTTCAGGCAAATTTAATTAGATATACAGTAATCAGATTTGTCAGTGACTTATCATATGAGAGACTATATTTTTATATATGGTATTACTATGATGATTGACAACCAATCAAATAGATTTTCCATCATGCTTGAGATAATTGAGTTTAATTATTTGTTTTGATTTTTGGACTGATCTGGTATTAATCAAGTTTCATGATTTTGATTGGTTAAAGATAACAGATAACTATCAGGTGGTCGCAAGATGTGCTTGGCCTTAGCTTCTTTGTGAAATTTTTCTTTTACATTATTTCTATTTTTTATTATATAAATTGACTTTCATTTATAATTAAAAAAATACCAATCATGTTAAAATTTATATAAATCTAATAAAAACTCATTTTTCAAAAAATTGCAAAATGTGCCCTTTTAATACAAGACACCCCATATAGCCAAAGAACTGTAGCTAGAGCCTTGCATAGCTTTGGGGTATTTTTTGTATTACTGTTATAAAACCTTTTTTGTCTAAAAATAATATAAATAAATACAAAGATTGATACAAAAAAATTTACACAAAAATCTATATAAGTGGTGGTATGTTATTTTTTTAGATAAAATAAGTGTTGAAGTGGGGTAAAAAATCTCACTAGGTTTAAGTGTGACATTATATAAATAAAAGTATAAATATGAGTATTTGGTGCTGAATTTTAGAAGTAATAGAGTATTAGTAATAGTGTGTTATGCTTTGTTAGTAAAATCAATAATCTCATAATTTTTTTAATAATTATAAAGATTCTAACCAAAAAATTAACAAAAAAATTTACACCAAGGTTTTTAAAAATAATCTCATGTTATTTATTGCTGCTGTGTGTTCATTGGTTGAATCTAATATTTCAGTATAATAATGTCTCTATATATAAGATAATAAAATAGTTGATTTAAAAAAAAATCAAATATATAACTTGGCTAGCATAATTCCTAATATAAACCCAATTGAGAATCTTTAGAAGCTTGTAAAAGACAATATTCAAAATCAGGAGAACTTTTCAAAAGATATAAATAAACTCAAAATAGCTATTAAAGAGGTATAGTCTAACTTGAATACATTGGTTCTTTGAACTCTTGTAGAGTTAGTACAGTGAAGAATCAAAGTAGTAGCTAGTGTGGAGGGCTATTCATTCAGATATTAAATAAAAAAACTTTATATATATGGCAGAAATTTAATAAATAAAAATTTTTTACTTTAATAAAAATTTGGGCATCATTTTTGCCACCTACTATGCATGTCCCACATATGTATTCATCTACATGTTTAGTAATTTCTTCCCAAATATATATTATTTTACTGTGATCAATTCTGTTCAATTACTCATATAATGCTGCTATAACATATAGACAAAATATTACTTCTTGCTTTATTTTTTTTACTAAGACAGCTAAACCTTCCCCACCATATTCTCACTATTCCCATTATTCGCCTAATTTGCTAAACCTATACTGCATACTTCATGTGACTATTCCGTATATAGCAGCATATAGTAGCGAGTCTTATGATCAGAAGTTTGAATAAGGTAGATGCATTAAATGCATAGCAATCGACCTAGATTGGGCAATTACTATTCCAGGGGTCAATCGAAATATCTAATTCGGCTATATTAGTGCTCGGCACAATTAAACAAAAATTTGATAGTTAAATACTTGTGATTAAATTGGATATCCATATTAACCAATACTATATATACATATATATATAAGTTAATCTACGATTATTGTTCCGACTTAATCACAAGTATTTGACTAGTAAATTTTTGTTTGATTGTGCTGAACACTAGATTATATGCATAGTGATGGGTTGAGGCTTTACCTTTATTGAATATTTTTTTAATGCAGCAATATGTATGATTGATTACCTCGAAATTTATTATTTTATATAAACCCAAACCAAATTTGGTTAAATACTTAAGCATTTTACTTTTTCTTTTTTTTTTAATATAATAATTTAATTTATTTAATAATGTATATTATTTAATAATTCAATGATAATGACTAATAAAAAATCAGGAAATTATATTTCGTTCAGTTAATTTATAAGTATTGAATGTACAATTTACATAACACGATAGCAAGTAACCTATTATTTGAAACATTAAGAATTTCCAACTACAGTCAAACCTCATTATAGTCACACTTGATATAGTTACAACCTTGATATAGTCACATTATTTTTTAACTCGAGCTAATATAAAATATATAAAATTTGACCTTTGTATAGTCACAACTTTTTATAATCGCCAGATTCTTGTCTCCCAAACTGGTGATTATATCGAGGTTTGACTATATCAGAAAGCGCTACTATTTACAAATTTGGTTAAATACTTAAGCATTTACTCTTTTTTTTTTTTTTTTTAATAATTTAATAATTCATTTAATACACAGTATTTAATAATTCAATGATAAAGATCAATAAAATATTGTGATAATTTATAAATATCGAATGCATAATTTACATAACGCGATAGTAAGTGACCTATCATTTCTTTAATACATTAAGAATTTCCAATGATAAGAAAGCACAACTATTATATCATATTTTTTATCGGTCATTGGCACCTTACATGCTGTCAAGCATATATAATAATGTTATCTGTGATTCGTATTCCCCAATTACTACTGCATCGTTTATTGGGGCTGCCAATATACTAATTAATCAAAATCATGTGGGATGCAATAATAAGTAATAATACTGATAGATTTTATGCATAAATCGATCAGCAAACTTTTAATAATGAAATACTAGTATCTAAGAATTGATTCACCTTGTATACAAGCAATTCTTTTGAAAGAATTTTTGTAGCAAATGATTCACATAGTATAATAAAAAAAATTACAGGGCTGAATTTTTGATTAATTGGGCATTTTTAGTTCTATATTAGCAGGAATTACTCAAGGACTAGTAAATATTCAAAAAAATTGATTTATTTCGCATACATGGTATTTTTTTCCAGCAATTTTTACAATAATCGATTCTTATATTAAACCAAAAAATAATGACAGCCAAATTTTCGATTAATTAGACATTTTTACGTGTTAGAGCAAATTTTGTTTCAATGCTATCTTGGTCACATATTAGATCAAAGGGCTTTGCCATCATGGGTCAAGAAAATTTAATTGCCTAAAAAATAGAGATAATCGATTATAGATTTTTTTTTTTTTACTATAAAAGCGAAACTTGTAATTTTTTTAATGACAAATTATTAACGCGAATTTTGTTTTGATAAATAGGGCCTGCCACATTGCTTAAATCATACGAATGAATGTGTATTTGGATTTGGAATTAGAACAGTTACGCCCAGTGAAGTGTTGTATATACAGTATTAATACGCATAATGAAAAAAATAAGCCGCTTCCAAAAAAACAAATTTTAATATAAAGTAAGCTTTATCATTTATTATGAAATTATTAATATCTAATCAACAATTACATGGTTACGATTCTTATTTTGTTGATGTTGGTTTTTGGATTTAAAAACTTCTGCAATTTTCGCTAGCTCCTCATCTTTTTTTCTTTTTTTTTTTTTACAGGTTCTGTCCCATCACACAACTGCAATTTTGAATTTTCCCACATTACATAATAATTCTATTCTATTGCTTCACATAATACAAAAACAGATTTCTCAACAAAAATTAGTTCACTAGCAACAGAAAAAACAGTTCGACGATGTGTAGCTTCAGCTATATTCGAATAGCGACCTTTCAAATTTGGATTATACTTGCATAACTGACAAATCAGTAGTTTTTCCATTCATACTATTATAGACTCCCTTTTTTAAACGAAAGATTGCATTGTCGCTATGTGGTTCAGAAGGGTCTTGAACAGGTGCAGAAAAAATTCTGAAAGCAGGTGCAATTGGCAGATCGTAAATGTTAGGTTCGTTTTGTAATATTTTAATTTGCAAAGATACACTTTGAGAAACTATAACCTTAATTTTAAATATGAAATTAAATTAATCATTATATTCTTCTATATAGGTTAATATGAACTAGAGATGCAGGCAAATCGTCCCAATGATTGCCATAACTTTACTGTAACGTGTTGTTATAACTAATAATACATTCGGTAAGGTTACAGCAATCATTGAGACAATTTGCCTGCATCTCTAGTATGAACAAGTTGGGTTTTATTACATTTAACTTATCTTCGAATGCAAAACAACCAATTATCATAGTGATAGTTTTTTCAGTCAATTCTTCAATAAGCGATGATTCTTCTGTATAAAATGCTTTAAACTTATATTCAGCAAATTCATTAGTTGCTGTTCGGTAGACCGCAGACTCGGTACAATATTTTTCTGAACTTGCGACAAAAATGCTTTTTATAAAGGAAATAGCGCAGAAGATAGAAACCATTTGTTCATGTAAATTGTTGTAAATTTTTAAGAAAATTTACATTTTTAAATCTTTTTATAAAATGTAATTTTTATTTACAACCTATTTTATTTTACAATAATAAAATTATTTTTAAAAATGCTTTTCAAATCAGTTTGTAAATCGAATTTTCTAAATGCAGGAATCGCTTAAAGCTAGATCTATCACAAGATCTTTTGTTTACGTGAATTAGTCTAACGAAGCAAAAAAAGTAAAAAATACGAAACGAATATTTAAACCTATCTTGGTAGAATAATAAAAATGTCAGGGAGGCAATTATACACTAACACTAACCTTAACATTAATTTAAATTCAGGATGGACCTGGCTTTAAACATCACCTAAATGCATTTTAACAATTATACAAGGTAATATATTATTATTCAAAGACTTTACTGTTTTTTTGATTTGTAAGCCCCTAAAAAATGCATGTTGAATTTGTAATAAGTTATGCTGATTACCAAATCGAAAGAGCACAAAAACCAGAAATTAGCGCAGGCTTTAATTTGCTTAATATTCAATATTTAAATATGTTCATATAACCAAAATTTCATGCTAAAAACTTTTATTTAAAAGTCAAACTAATAAAATCTTGAGTTACTTGCGATTTTTCTGTTTTCATCGAATTTTTTAAGTTAGTAATAAGAGTAATTAGTTAGTAAGTAAACTCTTTATTTGTTAGCATCTAATGGTTTCAGTTCTTTGATATAAGGTGTTCGCAAGAAATTATTTTTTCTTCAAAAATTTACATCGCTAAAGCGACTACAATCTATCTCAGATGACTTTAATTGATTCAGGTCTCGCTTGGCACTTGAGACACACTCCTTCTTAATAACGATGCACACACCGCACTACTCAACACGTAAGTATTTACTTAAAATGCTTTTATTACTTTTTCGGTCAAAGAGACTAATGAATTTTCTCTATTTATATTTTCTATTTATTCGATTTTAACAATTACATACTCTGTACTACACTTTAACTATTTCTTTCTTTGTTATTAATTTAATAGACTTTCTAATTACCTGTTATTATTATGCACACCACAACTCCGATCGATCATATGATCACGTGAGTCGTTCGGTTGATATTTTTCGTTCCACCCTTTTACTTGACAATTCGTTTTCTATTTGTATACCTTTTACTAGGTATATAGGCTTTTGTGACAATTACTTTTATATCATAATATAATAAACAATTAATTCTCAACAAATTTCTAACTGGTCTAACCACTTAATTCTATAAATATTGTTATCACAATTATTATTTGATCAATTAATTCAGATGCTTGAGAACAGCCATAGTGCATTAACCAGAATCGAATTTTGTAATTTTATACTAAACCTTTTTAAGACTCTGCTTTTTATTATCATTATATACTTGTTATGAATTAGAACGTTATTAAGTATCTACCTCAATGAATTCTATAAAAAGTCTAATTGGCCAGCTTGATCAAACAGACAAATTAGAATTTCTGCTAAGTTAATTGAAGTAGATGCTCGGGAACGCCTTCAGCTTCATTATTAGAAATTTCAAGCCAATTGTTTAAGACTTCATTTTTGTTGTTATTGTATACGCTCTAATTAAATAAAGTAAGTATTTGCTTCAAATTGGTTTTCGTAAATAAATTTAAAAACGTAGCAAATATATTCTGAAAAAATAAAAGCATGTCAAATATCATTTCTAAAAGTATCAAAATATAATTTCGAAAAAAACTTTGTACTTATCTTAATTTTTACACGATGCCTAAACTTTCAAAACGCAATGTTCAATTAAAAAACGTGCGTGAATCGCTTGCTAAAAAGCACAAGTTAAATCAACACCAAGAGACTGTTAATACAACAGATCATCCAAATAAAATAATACAAAATATAACCTCTAATGCCTTGACTACTAATGAATCCAAAACATATAACACAATAGTTAATACTCTTAAAGACATGTCCGAAACAGATCTTAAATCAGTATCTCATTTTTTGCATACGATGAGATACCCCTACGGAAAAAACAAAAACTGAATTATATCACCATATATTCAAAACAAAGCATTTCAATACGTATCTAACTCTCTTTACAAACCTGGAAAATCATTAGAGGCATTAAATAATCAAAATAAAAAATTAAACCAAGACATTAAAAAATTACAGCGATCTAAAGATCGTGTAACTCATAAAGTTCAAAAGCTTAATGGTTCTATTGCGCAATTTAAACACAAGAATCGTCTTTATATCTCTCGAATTCATGCACAAGCCAGATGTCCTCCAGAGTTAAAAAGCAATGATATGAAAACTGTAATTAGAAATCTAATTAAACAAAATAAAAAAAAAATATAACACAGATTTTATTAACTTTACAATGCAAGTTTCTCAGCTTGGTCGTATGTCTTTTAAAACCGCACGGCAAGCATGAAGATCGTTTTTAATTTTTTGACGAGAAATAATACACAATCTTGGATTTGTAGAGATACTGTTAGCCGTTGGTATCATGAAGTATCAGAAGTGCATTTAAGAAATGTATTTCAACAGGCTAATAAGTCACCTCATTTTGTATTTGTAATTATAGTGGACGAATCAGGTCGGGGTAAAAAAAAAATATTAGTAGAATGCTTTATGTTTTGGAATTCAAAAAAAAATATACCAGATTTTGTACTTCTAGAAACCAAGGATATTCGAAGCTGTAATTCCGATTCAATTAGTCAAGCTCTTGTTGAATATTGTACAAAATATAACCTTAACATCTCACAATGTCTTACCTTCCTTTCCGATAACACCAATTATATGAGTGGTCGTACTGGAGGCGCTGTAACCAAATTTAATTATTTAACCAAAAGTAATTGTATCCGAATTTCTTGCAGACTATATGTATTACATTTGATTTTAAATAATTTTGAAGAAACAGCCTTTGGTAAGCTTCCAACAAGTACTGGGTTTTCTAAAACACAGCATCTATTTAATCTTATTTATTTGGCATGGATATTACATGACGGATATGGCCAAAGTGATAAAGACTCTCCCTTAAATATGAGGAGTGAAATGATTCATAATCTTTATAAAGCATGGTTTAACTATCGGTTGACTAAATATCAACATCCTCTATGATCAAGGTGGCAATATGAATTAATTGCCGCTGAGCAATATCTTGAAAGGCGTGAGATTCATATAAAATTTGTTACGTGGTTCCTTCCAAAACTAAAGAGCTTAAAAAAAGTTCCAAGTTCCTATATTCAAAAATGGGAACTATTTCAGAATTGGTTAAATGATTCTGAATTAAATATTCAAGTCCAATGCTTAATTAAATTCAGTCAGGAATTTTACCGTCCATTCGTAGAATTTCTTGTCGGTTACGATCCTCGATTAAAAGTTTTACAATCAGATAATTTGCTACAATGCTTGCCATCTGGTCATAGTGCACATCAAATGCCAGATTTTGTTCTTAATTCAACATGTAAGCTTACACATATCTTGGAAAATCTTTATTTATTTTTTGGTGGAGAACTTTTAGAAAGTACGGAAATTATGGATGATTCAAATGTTGAATTGTTAGTTCAAAGGTTAGAAAAAGGAATACAAAAAGGACTTGAATTACACCAAAAATGGCTCAATTGTTGGCTCCATCTTCCTTTAAGTATGTGTCAACTTGGTGGAAGTAATGCCCAACAATTTGCATGTAGCTACTGGCATGTCGTATTTAAAAAATCTTGGCCCAAACTTCCTAGTTTAAAAGAACTTTGTTATGCACAATTTCTTAAAACGGATATTGCACAAAATAGATTTAATGACTTCGGTCTTAAAGATACACTAACC